GGTCGCACTGCGGACCAATTTTGTTTTTACTGTTCATTAACGATTTAATGCGTGGCTTTCGTTACTCCAATTTTCTGTTGTATGCGGACGATTTGAAGGTATTTAAAACTGTTAGTTCCGTGAAAGATGCACTTGAATTACAATCAGATCTTAATATATTATACGATTGGACAGAAAACAACTTATTGCCTTTGAATGTTAACAAGTGTCTTATTATATCATTTCTTAATATCAAACTGAGGGTGAACTTTGACTATTATTTGGGTAATTCTATCTTGTCTCGTGTTGAGGAAGTCAAAGATTTAGGTGTGGTTTTCGATTCTAGATTAACATTTAAGAATCATTATTATTTTATTTTTAATAAATCAATACGGACTCTTGGGCTCATTTGGAGGCATTGTCAACATTTTTCGATTTCGACCCTTAAACTATTATACTTCTCTCTTGTTCGATCTCACCTAGTTTATTGTTCTTCCATATGGTATCCTAATTATAAAACAGATTGTGATTTATTGGAAAGAGTACAGAAAAAATTCCTTCGCTTATTAGAGTTTAAGCTTGGTCGAACTCATATACAGGGTAATTACACTTGGGTAATGTGTAATTTTCATATTAATTCACTCGAAACTCATCGCATAATTTCCGATATTTCATTTCTTCGAGGACTTATTAATGGTGAAATAGACAATGCCTGCTTACTAGAAAAACTATCTTTCATTGTATTGCCTGCTGATAGCAGATTGACTCGCAGTCAACTGATTTTCAGAATTCCTTTGTCGATAACAAAAAGATCGCAAAACCATCCAATTAGACGAATGATGAACACAGCCAACACACTCGCAGAGGACCAGAGGTTCAACATATTTAATATTAATAAAACTGCGTTTAAGAATTTGATCAGGAATCTAAGCTATTTTGTAAATTCTTAATTAATCATTTTTAATTTTATTTTGCACGTATTTATTTATTTATTATTTAATATTTAGTATACATATTTAGTTTTATAAGTTTTGTTTCTTGTATTATTAATAATTTAATTAATATTGTAATAGGGGTATCCCGTTAATAAATATTCTAAATATTCTAAATTCTAAATATTCTAAATTTGATGCTAATTTTACGATCTTATAAAAATATTACCGTCGCAACAACAAAGTTTTGTCAAAACTAGAGCTTCTTTATTACAAATTTGTAATAAAGGAACTATGGTTAAAGTGTTAACTCCAAACACTATCGATACAAAAAAATAAATTAGTTCTTATTAAAATGAGTAACGTGTTTGTTAGAAATAAGTAATGAATTTGCATTAACTTGAAAATAAGTTGTTTCTAAAGCGTGTTATTCAAACAAATATTCATTGTATAAGTGTAGTAGGGATCTACAAGGCCCGTCAAACTGTTCACAAATGCTATTTTGTCCGTATACCTGAAGTATTACTAAGCGCGAAACTAAAGAATAGACGCTTGCCCCAAAATAGGGATTATTATTACGGATAGTAAAACTTCATAATTAATTTGTACTTGACTTCTAGACACATTTTTTCTTAAGTTTCTAGGATTTTAAATTATTTTAATAATATTTTTAGGAATTTAGAGTATACAAAGGTTTTCGTCATTAACCTCGGATTTATAAATTACAATTGACTTAAATTTTATAGTCTCGCTTGTTATTTCAAATTTGTTATTTACGTAATGTCAGTCAAATGTATGACTGTGGAAAAAAATTAAATGATCACATTTATCATGGCCTAATTTTTAGTGTGTTGAAATAAATGAAGAACGATTTGAACGCAAGTGATGTAATTTAATTAAATATGTACATAATGTAGATATTAAGTTCTGTTCAATGCAGAAAACATGACTTTTTATAAGTACTTAATGAATGATTGTAATGTATTAATTTTCAAACATAGTTTATTTCCGGCCACGATTGGGAATTATAGATCCGAGTTACTTATTTTTTCAGGGTTTTTCAATTATTTTATTTAGTTTGTTTAATGGTGCTAGCTATAAGACTAATGGTGCTAGTTGGTGCTAGCTCTAAACTATTAGGTGCTAGCTTTTCATTGCCTTTAAATTATATTGCGGGGCTAGCGTTAACTTAGCCCCCCCCCGAAAATAACCCTTTATTACATGGCTTTATTGAATAAAAACACACTTTTTTTAATGGATCCAGCGAGTGCTAGCTCTAGAGTATTAACCTACTGATTTTTACCATTAAAGAAAAAAAAGTAGGGGCTACTTTTTTTTGGTTTTTATTTTTTTTTTTTAATACTTGCAGAGTGGTGCTAGCTATGAGACTAATGGTGCTAGCTGGTGCTAGGTCTAAACTACCTCGGACAAACTTTTCATGAGAATTAAATAATGTCGGGGGGCTAGCGTTAACTTGGCCCCCCCCGAAAGTAAAAGGCTTTTATTTCAATAATTAGGTGGTGCTAGCTTTTTGGTTGGTGGTGCTAGCTGGTGCTAGGTTAGAACAACGAGGTGCTAGCTTTTGAGTAAAATTCATTAACTTGGTGGTGCCAAGTTAACGGACCCGTTCTGTAAGGAAATTTTGAAATTTGAAAATTTTAACAAACAAAATTACTCTGAGTCCGGTCCTTCGCGTCTCGACCGTCCCTGGCCCGTCGAAAAGGTCTTTTCAGGTAGGTATCGGTGAGCGGGTTTAAGACATCCGGTTGTGACGGCCTATTGAATTATAATGGGAGTCAAATTGGTGTGAAGTCATAAACGCCAAATATATTTGAGGATAGTATACCACCTTGGATTGGTGCAGTGTAATACTAAAAATAACTGTATTGTATTCCCAAAATTATCTGCGAAAATCGAGTGAGCCCTTCCATCAATTTTTTGGGGGGAATAAATAAATATTCTTAACAATTCACCATGCTTACAATAACTTTAAAACGTCTGCAAGATCTCAAAGTATTCATTTTGCAACTCTTGAGTTATTCACTAAAATAAATTGACTGATCCATATATTTTTTTGAGTCACTGTAAAAGCAAATCTAAAAAATATGAATGCAATGATAAATTACGAAAATATACTGATGATGTTTTCCACATTTTAGATAGGATTTATTCGGCAAAATCTTGAGATGACGTCTTCAAGTTTTTGGGCTTGATAAACAGATATATTTTGATTGAAAACCTACCATGTCAAACAGTAACTTCAAAACGTCTGCAATATTTCAAAATTCAGTTTTGCAATTCTTGATTTAATCAATAAAATAAATTGACTCACCCCCTATAAGCAAAACTAAAAAATATGAATGGAATGATAAATCACAAGTATAGTCTCTTCCTATTTTGGACATTTTAGATAGGATTCATTTGGCAAAATTTTGGGCTGACGTCATCAATTTTTTGGAGGGGATAAGTAAATATATTTTGAATACAAATTTATTATGCGTATCATATGTTTTAAAACATCTGCAAGATTTCAAAGCATTCGATTTTGCAGATTCAAAATTAAATTGTAGGTGAAACGAAGTTCACGGGGTCAGCTAGTTAGTTATATTTCACTTTAAAAACAAATTCTTACAATTTTAGAGAGGAATTTTATTTTCAAATTTCACAAAAAACTGAATCGCTATCACTTGACAAACGCTTTCAAATAAGCAACTTTTTGTTTTAATAGACAAACTTTGAATGAACGGCGGCAAATGAACCACCCTAATTTGCGACCCCACTATTCACTGCACCCCTATGATGACTTCTAGCACTTTTCATTCTGAGAAACTGATAACTAAGCCGCCGCCATTGCCGCCGCAAGTATTTGAGTTGGGCTTGACGGTTCGAAGAGATTAACTGTGAGTTATTTATAATTATAAGATTTATAAGCAACGGCGTTGACAGCGCCGTAACACGCCACAGTGTCGACACTATCCGACTATTTAAGATTACCATGGCAACGGAAAGTTGAAATGCACGTGTGCGGGAACTTCGACTTTGCTGACTGCGCGAAAGTCATCAAAAAAAGTCATGAATACAATAGTATATTATTAACTAAGGTTGTGAAGACAGACATTCTAGACCGAGCGCAAATTAGAACCTGAGACGCGCAGCGTCGAGGGCTCTAAAGCGCGAGGTCTAGAATTGGCTTCACAAACGTGGTTAATATACTATTTTTTCCACTAGTAGCCCATTTGAGGTTTGCGAATTTTCAAAATGTTTTTTCTGAAGTGCATCAATAAAAATGTGTACTCACGTCATTTTAGTAAGCTTTGGAATTTTATTATTTTTTGACAATCCAGAAATGGTCCAGAACTTTTGTTTTAATTTCCTCCACATTTCCCGTTTTTAATAAATTTTTGTGTGAAAAATGTTGTAAAGTGAACCATCATGTACCCCTCCTCATTTCGTCGTACTTACGCGACCGCGACAAATTTGGCTGAAAAAGGTATGGACCTTTTATCGTTAAAGCGACACGGGGAATGGAAATCCTCCAGCATAGCAGAAGGATACAACGACGGCTCAATCTTCAATAAAAAAAAAAAATCGCCGAAATCGTCCAAAGCTCATCTGCGGCAAATCAAGTCAAACCAAATAGGAACCATGATTCAGTTTCAGTCCCGTAAACTTCATTTTCACTCCCATCAACTTCATCAACTTTGTTTCACCAATTTATCCTCAATTTATAATCAATTCAGGGTTTGGAAATCATTCCAGGGCATAATTTAAAAGCAAATTTTCCAAAATGATCGTTTTCAGGTTATGTCTCAGTTTTTCTGACAGTTGTGGACAGTTGTCACATTAGGTGGCCAACTTCACGTTTACATTATTGACCAAGGTTCACAATTTTCCAAATTACAGACCTCTAGACAAGTCGACAATTAGCCATTGTAATGCTACTAGTGGAAAAAATAAATTATTGTGCTATCATTACCTCGAGTTTTAATGTTTTAATGTTATGATTAATTTTTATATCTTTTATCGCGTAGATAAACGCCACACTTACCCAGAAATCGCATGAGATAACAACGAGTAAATTTTTACTGTGGAATATATGTGATACTTGTTACTGTTACTGTGCTTTTTCTACTGATAGATTTTTCTTTAGTTGATCATCGAAAATTTTTCATTCTACTCAGATCATAGTGAATGGAAGAAAATGAAGTTACTTTTGTACAATTATGTTTTCGCGAGTGTGTTAATTTCAGCCGAAGTGATAACATTAATTAAAGATAATAGTATCACGTGTGTTTTAACAGACGATTCTGTTAACTCCACTATATACGTAACAAATGCCGATGACCTTGAAAAACTTGAACGGATAATTCCTGAAATAACCAATATATATGACGATGATTGGCAATGGAGACGGTCGAGTGTTGACTTTTGGCCAATACTTGACCCACGTTGGACAAGTAATTAAAGCACACAACGAAAGGAGATTTCTTTACCGTTTCTCAGATTTTAGGCCAGACACTACAGGTGTCAGACTTGAAAACCGATTCTCATTATGTTTAAAACAACATTCAAAAATTCTTTTACATGACATAAGTTACCAACACTCTACAAACATACCAATCCGACATGTGAGTATGTGACAAAAACGCATTTCTTAAGTTCATTAATTTTCCGGTGTTAAAGTTGAATGGCCCCTACACCGCTTGTCAGTGGCAGCACTACGAAATAAAAAAAAATATGACACATGGGAGTCTAGTCAACATTGAAAACAACAATGTTATTAATGTAACAAAATTGGACTTTGAACCAGATTGGGTAACATTTTCTCCAGACAATTTAAATATTAAAGTACATAAATGTAAGAACTTGATCCTAAGATAGCAACCAATAGTAATAATAGTATGTCTCTATTTTACAGATCAATTTCGATACTCTACAACAACTAGCACAAAACCGTCATACATTAACATAACATCTATGAGCTGCGTCTCTTTTTATGTTTCTGTTGATGAAGGATGTTACCTGAATATTTCGGTACAACCAGCAAACAGCATTACAAAAATAGCTGGATTTAATGAGAAGAACAAATTAAAACAGTGGAAAAAATACGAAATAAGGGCTGATCCTAAAGCGATTAATCAAACGCTTTCGATATACAGAGGACGAGACGACAAAGGTACCAAGGGTTATTGGACAATTGATGATATACACGGTTGTAGTTCCGAAACAGGTAGATATTTTTGCTAAATTAAACTAAAACACCGGATGGAATACTTTCATCTCGAAATACGTAAGTATAAACCTTAGCTACAAAATGATTTTCAGTTATTTATCGGACCAACTTGAGTACATCTTGGACTACCCAGAAGTGTGCGGAACTAAAACAAACGAACTCTTCAAATAAACTTTGCACCAAAGCCTCTTTAGGAGAAAAATGTAACATTAAATGCGATGAAGTTTTGGGACCGAAATATCCCAATTGTGAGGATCATCGAATATGCTTGTCAAAAAATAAATGTTACTGTGCCTGGGGTTTCAAGGGAGAAAAGTGTACCGAAGGTGTTACGTAAACAACTGAAAACAGTTAAAATAACTATTTCTTATTTTAGAATGTGAAGGAGATTCTTGGGGATTAGATTGTTTGAAAAATTGTACTAACTGCGAAAAATGTGATAAGAAAACCGGATGTCAAAAATGTAAGGCACAGTACTTCGGGGAACAATGTGTGTATAAATTTCCCGTCGTGAAAAGGCCACCTATTTTAGAACCCAGTGACGACGAGTCGATAAGAATTTTAACAAATATTGAATATGGACGAGACGAAGAAACGCCAGAACATTATTATATTCAGTGGAAAAAGGTATATTACACCTACTGTAAGTTGTTGCTTGTTTTTATGTAATGTTGCTAGCTTGACAACAACGATGGGTTTGAAAATTACACAGACCAGCAATTCCTCATGACAAAAAATAATGAATCGTTCTCAACAAATATTTCGCGGGATGATTCTTATCAGTTTAGAATACTATTGGTTAGCCATAATTCATCATTTCAACAAGATACCATCCCGCAGTTAACCGTATACAAAAGTAAGTATGTAACTATAATATAATAATATGATACAGATATTTTTGAAAGGTATGTAAAAAAACGGAAAATTGGACATGAAACACATGTCACAAACTCAAAATCAAATTAATTTTCCGTTTTTGAGACAAACTAAACAATCGATCAAAATTTAGCATGCGCTACTGGTTTACGGCAATTCGTTGTTTGTTAAGCAACATTTGCGCCGGGCTAATTTTACTTTCAGATGAAGAACAATAATCGTAGTTCGGCAACAGAAAGAAAAACTTTCAAATAGGTTTTCTTGAAAAATGCAAAGTTACGCAAATGCCGAAATGATCAACGTGGTCTTTAATGCACGGCAGAACATTTGGAAATGGTCTCGAAACTCGACGTCTCGATGGTGAAGCTTTCTCCAGTCGGAATTTACCAGACCGTGGAACTTTCCATGCCGAAAAAATGATAATGTCGTTTCTAAAAAACTTGACAGGCGAGAAACAAATTTTGACTTTTTACTTGTCACTGTTGACTAATACTTTAGGCTAGTTGCTTGAAATGCATTAATAATGTACACCTTGCACTTTGTTAATATTTGTCAATGGCGGAAGAAAAGTATGGTATAGGAGTAATTTTTGTGAGATTGATACAATCAACAAAGTCTTGTATGACTTTCCAAGATGGGCGAATTTAACTTTTTTTACATACCTTTAAACACACCCTATAGTTAAAACTTAAAAAAACAATTTTAGAATCTTTGACTGCACATGTGAAAGACAATGATACGATTGTACTAAACTGGACTAAACGTGATCTACATGAAAATAATACGTACAAGATAGCACACAGGGTATAAACATCGACAATATTATATTGAATTCTGTTTCCTCTCTGTCAAACCCCTACAACGTTTCAGAAATTCTGCACATTATTTAGCACACTTCCTTTAAAAAATTCTTTGCTTTTTTACTATCCCTATCTTTCTTTACATTCAAAATTGCGTATCTCTGTATTGATCAATGTACCAGTGTTTGTAAAGTAAACATTCTGTTTCGTTGATATCTACACCGACCGGCATGAAAAAAAGAGCAGCTAATAGTACAGTGCTTTGACAATTTTACTACGCTTATTTTTGATGTTGTTGCTTGACCAGCATATTAATTGTGTGTACCTGCACCCCACACTTTAGATGAGCTTCAGAATATGCTTTTAAAGGAATGAAAGAATATCCAATAAGAATAAATAAACAATTTATTTCATGGGAGACCCTAGATAATGGCAGCAGTCTTATTGGTTCGTGGGAGAAATACGCGTTATTAACGTCGTTATACAGTGTGCCCAATGAACATTGCTTTTGCTTTTTTGAAAACTTTAAATTTTTTTTCATTTTTATTTGATTTTTGAATTTTTTACCATTTTCTATTAAAATAGTTTCCTAGTTCCAGCACATGTTTCTATGCTTGGCAAGTTTCCTCTCCGTCTAACCCCTGCATGTTTTAGAACTTTTGCATATCTTTTGGCACATTTCCATTAAAAAATTCTTTGCTTTTTTACTATGTCTATATTTCTTTACATTCAAAATTGCGTATCTCTGTATTAATAAATGTTCTAGTGTTTGTAAAGTGAATATTATGTTTCGTTGTAATCTATATTCATCGCCCTAATTTTTATTTATCTTTTTCTGGGTAACTTGTATTACCTTTTGTAATTATTTAAATGTGCTTTTTGTTTTTCTTTTGCAAGCGATTTTTCTTTATTTTTCTTATTTCGCTAAAGTTATAAATTAACGTTGTTTATCTTCTATCTGTCCTCTCTTTGAGTGCCATCATGTATGATTTAACTCTTTTCTTTTTTGTATTTAATTAAGTATACATTTTAATAAGATTATGCGTTTGCATTTGTTAACATTTTTAGTGTAAAAAATCATTCTGCGCTGACAAAGCAGAGGAAGAATATAACACCACATCTACAACAACTATTGCACTGACTATAAAACACTTTAAAATATGCAGCATCAAGTTGTTCTTTACAAAACATGGAAGCGATGAATTCATAGAGCAAACAACTGTGATACCTCAAACTTCAACGAAGGAAATATTTCCCGCAGAATTACCAAGAAATGTTACCTTCTTGAAAAATCAAATCGTCCTTCAATTTAACAAATGCGACAATTTTACTGGACCGTTGAAATATTCAATTGAACTTATATGCATAAGCGAGTGGTGTGCAAATAGACCTACTAAAGTTGATCCGTGTCATTTACTAAACTACTTACCTAACATTACTAGAGATGTAAAAGGTTTATCACCTTTTACGGAATACAACATCACCGTAACTGCGAAAAGGATTGATCAGCATGACAAAATAAAAACTTATTTAACGAAGTCAATGCCGTCAGGTGGATGAGCATTTATCTCTTTAAAATTAACGAATTCATTATTTTTGTTCATTGCAGCACCACCACCAGTAAATACTTTACAATTATATTCTAATGACGAAGACACTTTGTCTATAAGATGGAAGGAACCCTTTCCAGCAACAGGAAAAATAGAAGCGTACAATTTTACTCTCAGCGATAACACCTCAATTCTTACTACAACGAATTGTACGTTTTCTTGCGAAATGTGGCCCGAATTTCAGTGTGCAGATATACCGAGGGTAAAAAAAGTTAGCGTTTACAAAGTGACGGTGAGTTTGTAAGAACTTTATAAGTTTCATTAAAGAAAAAAAGTCAGTTTTAAAACAAATAAGCTGACATAAGTTGAAGCTGTGCCAAATAAACAAAACTGTCTTAGGTTCGAGCAAAAAACTACGAAGTTGCTGAATGGAGTGAGTCCAATTTTACTATAAATGTCGAAAATGGTTCGTCTTTTATTTGTGTAAACGTAATAAATTAATTTGATTTTTTAGTAACTCAAGCACCTCAAAATTTGCGGATCGAATTAAGTCCACAATCAATGGACGAAGTGATACTTAGATGGGAGTACCCACTTTACACATATGGAAAAATTGAAAAATTTTATACAATACTACACGACAACAGTAGGACAGAAAATAGTACGATCCAAGTTTCCAATGAGATAAACTATAACAAAACTGTATAATACTCTACATTTCTTCTACAGCAGTCAATAACGTGATTGTTTCAGATTAAAATCAAGTATGGACATAAATATAACTTCACTGCTTGGGCACAAAACGCTCATGATGGTGAAAAAGCATCGATTTATTTCGTAGTCTCTAAACCCATTTCTAAATTGTCGAATCAAGCGTTTATATTATGGTGTACAGAAAAATGTTATTTAGTAACACAAAAATCAAAAACTCTAGAAAATACGAAATACAACATTATAATAAAACAACATAATGGAACCCAAGAGGAAGACGAAGCGAAAGGATTAATTTCTTTTTCGAAAGATAAAATTCCATGCATGGAAAATAACGCATCATGTGACATCCATTCAGAGTTTCAAGACGTAGCAAATCAATATTATTTTATAAAAATAGACGGTGAAGAAACTCCTATCGAATTCACAGCATATGAATTTAAACTCGACATTATATCCCAAACAAATAATAATATTATTATTTTTCTTATAGTTGTGCTAATCCTTGTCGTTGTCTTCCTTCTAGGATTCTTGTTTCACAGGTTAATTTACTCAACGCCCAGAAAATAATTGTTACCAATTTATGTCGTTACAGGAGAAAAAGTCAAGCACAAATGGCCAAGAACAACGAAAGCGATCCTTCTTTCGAACCTGTCAAGTTCAACCATTTTGAGAATTTCTTCTCAACTGCGCTCGACGATGACCCAGATGACAACATAATAACACAACAATTCGAGGTCAGCTTAAAACCATTCGTTGCGTTCTTAAAAACAACCCTTTTCAGGCTGTAGCAAGGGTTACAAATTGTCAACAAGGCCAGTTACACGAAAACGCTAACAAAAACCGCTACAACAATGTCTTGCCATGTAAGCATAGTTTAAAACATTTACTAATCTAACCATTTTTTCGTTTCTAGATGACGACACTAGAGTAATTTTGCAAGGAAACAGCGAAGGAGACTACATCAATGCAAACTACGTCGACGTAAGTCGTCACCTGAGAACTGGTTTGCCGCATATCCAGACCGCGTCCGAGGGAGTTTCGCCTCTACTGTTTGGTGCAGATTTGCCGCATGTCGCACTTGGGCGAAGCGAAAAATCGAAGTTGAAAAGTAGTCGTTACTATTCGTCAATGATTAGTGATCATTTCGTGATTTCGAGTATGCATTCTGAATGATTCAAATACTAAGGAATCAAGAACCGATTGCCGAAATACCGAGAACTACCGACCTCCTAAACCTATAAATCAAATACCCTTACTTTTATTTACTAACACTTCGCTTTCAAGTTGAGTTGAATGTTGAATATAGAAAAAGGAATAAGTTAAAAATAATGCGGCCTTTTGTTAGTTGGGGCCTTCGGGCCTAACTCTTGATTACTCTCTAACAAAAATTTAATGAAGTAACCAAAGTTACTAAATAATAATAGATTTATAAAGTACGTTTTTTGTTTTTGTTTTTTTTTTTTATTCTATGTAATATTATTTCATTTATTTTTGTATTTTTTACGATTTAAATATATTTTTTGTATTAGTCCAGAAATTATTAGATATTTTCATACCGCAATAAAACCAAACCACAGCGAGTTTCATTGAGTAATCAATACCCGAAGTAACGATTATAAATAACGATTACTTTTTTAAAAAGTAACGAATACGTACGAGTACACCAAAGTAACGATAGTTCCCATCTCTACTGATTTGCCCCATGTCCAAGCAGAAATCGATACAGTACCGTTATCCGTACGTACTTCCTTGCTGTTTTGCTTTTCAGCGTTAGGTTTGGGGTTGGGAAAGAAATCGTATTCAACTTCACGCGCAGAACAATAAGAATAATGTGAAATAAATAAAAAAGAAACTTAACAATTTTGCTGAATCTGAAATTTAAAAAAAGCAACTGTAATTTGTGCAACTCTTTTTCTGTTGTTATAGATGTTACAAATGTTTTCAATTTTTTTTTTAAGAAAGATTGAGTTTCAAATTATTAGATTCGAAATTTTACAAATTTAAATTTCAAATAGATTTGTTGTTCGATAAACCAATAATTTAATTTTTTACTAAACAGTAACATTTTTGTTTAATTTTTTCTCGGGAATGATTGAACTTATTTTCTCTAGTTTTAGTGAACAAGATTTATAACGCTGCATACCAGTAAAAGAGTTCACAAATTTTTGTAGTATTCTTATTTGTAGAAACGATATTTCTACATCAATAATCACAAATAATATATACATTTTTAATTTTTTAAATTAAAATGTAAAAGTAATATGAAAATTAAAATTTCGAAGCAAAATCTGTTTAAGTGGATTTTGCTTCGAAATTTATTACTGGAACGTTTACAAAAATCAACTTTTGACATAAAATGCTTGCAAATTTGAAACAGAATTGGAATGTTTCTTGACAATCATGCCTAATACATTTTTGACTTGTATCTTTTAAAAAGAATTATTTCCGAATTTATAGCTATTTACAATTTACGATTTACTTCAAGAATAAATTCCGTATTAGAATTTTACCTATAACTAAATAGATGTATGTTGTTAACTTATATAAGGTACTTTACATCGAAACGAGTAATTTGTTTTTTAATATGACATTGCCTTTCTTTATCATTCTATTTGTCTAACAATTATTGTTGTGCAATTATACGCGTGTAAATAAAAATAACTTTACAATAACTTATTTATGGGTAAATTTTTTTACCAATTAATTTAAGTGGATGGTTATATGTAATCGTAATAATACCGCATAAAATTCACTCACTGTTTAGGTATATCAGATATCAAAAGCTATTAAATCCAAATGTTATTGTTTATTTTTTTTATGTCTCGAACGTAAGCTAAGGAAGTATTGTAATCAAGTTCATCGGGCGACTGGCTACTTTTATGGCTTCTCAACGATTCATGACTCCTATAATACGAAAACATAAGTCTCTCGTTTCCGGTTGATAAAACGCTGACCAACATTTGTAATCATCCTCCCCATCATATAACGTCATCTCCAACTTTTACAGCAATAAATGTTATATCAATTTTAAAAAATAACATACTTTTTCATTTGTTGTAAACAACAATAAACTTATTGAATTTTTACCCTAAGCATCCAGATTGAATTGAACTACCATAACCCTAATTTCTTGAGATTTTGGAAACAGGATATACTACATAAAGAAAGTTAAAAGAATTTGAAGTAATGTAATGATACTCTTTTTACATCAACATACTATTGTTTTTGTTTATAAATTAATTGGGCATCGTCCAAAATACTGTTCATAAATTATAAGTGCAGGAAGAATATGCAAAAGCATGCAAATACATTTTTTGCGTATAATAATATGTATTTTAATTAGTAAAAAAAAGTAAAAAGTCTAGTTTAATACCTTACCTTATTAAAATAATAAGATTAATTAATTATGTAGTTAGCAAACAATGACGTTTAATTTATACTTAGTAGGGTTCACGGCATTAACTTTTCACATTGCATGTTTAATTCGGAGTTATAATTTGAGAATGTAATGTTTGTATTGATGAGGCTGATACGTGTTTAAACTCCATATTAATTTTAATAATAATGAAAAAACTTTCAGAGTTTAAGTAATATATTTGTAGTCACTGCTCCACGTCTTTCGGTACACAGTACCGTCTTCAGGCAGAAGAGAAACTAATTTACCCGTTTATTTATTTTTCTAGTTTAGTAGTACTTGGTAAATTCAGAAAACTGTATGTTATTTAAAAATACGCGACAAATCACAAGGCCAGGCAATCTAGAGATCTGACTGCTGGTTTGCGCGGGAAATACTGCATACTTTTTAGGTAAAAGGAGTCTATGATAAGCGCACGTAGGAGATGATAGACAGAGAGCTAATATATAGAGCTAATGTATTGGAAAGAAATAGGACAAGTTTACGTGTGCACACCACAGCCTCCCTTTCTTTTCTGAACAGTTTGGGATCATACCATAGTATCATATCTAATCTATCTAATACTATTAAACGAGCAAAGTTTGTATATATATATATTTATATATATATATACGTATCCAACCGTCGTTACCAGACCCAACATATTAAACAGACGTTACCAAGCCCGGTTGTTTTTCCGAGTATAATATAATAAATTTAATGGTTTTTGCAATAACAAACTTAAAAAAAAGTAGAGGGGTAAAATTATTCCTTGAAAAAAGTTAACACCATATTCATCCAACGTTACCAGACCCACTATGTCCAACAGCTTTCTCAGTCCCATTTCAGTATAAATAACACAGTAAACCGACGTTATCAATCCCGACATTGTTGCCACATTAAATTTATGGAAAATCGCTTCACATTGTATTGATCTGTAAAATTTCTTGTGTATCTTGAAAGTTGGATGTACAACCAGTGGATATGCAAAAGTGTCACAAAAGAAAATAAGAAAAACCAAAAATATATCTTATCTGCCTGTCTTTTTGACGCCATGAGTGCCATGACAAACGGATAACCATTAATAAAATTAACGCCAAGGCGATTTTTTTATTAACAGATATGCAAGTTTGATAGACATCAGTAACATTTTCTTTTTACTAGTTGTACATGTCTATCGAGTTAGTTCAACCAAAATTTGGATACCTATTCCCACCTAAAATTAAAAAAAAAATTATAAAATAACATAATTTTTCACTTGCGGTTTATTAATGCAATTTTTATTTGACCTTAGGCGTACAGATTTGTAAAAAAAATGTTAGCACAAAAATTTTCTAATTTATTTCATAAAGTTTTTAAATGAAATTTAAGCTTTTCTTACACATAACATAAATCACAAATTAAGATTTTTTAATATTAAAATCCTAAAAAACTCGAAATTTTAACCACAAAATGGTACAATATGTGTTAGAAACTTTAAAATTAATTTAGAGATCTAAAATTGCATATTTTTTAAGAGTAACTTTAATATTTCAAATTATTAATTGAAAAATTTAAGAACGCGAAACTAGTAATAAGAAGACCCTCTTCAAAAGAGTTACAATGCTCCATAGCAATTATTTAATCAATACTTGTTAATAAGGGCAATTAATAACCGCCTATTAACAAACGAGTTGGTTGCAATACTTTTCCGGTGATTGCAATTTCATACACGAAACTGCTAAAAATCAGTTTCAAATTTCATGATATTTATAACATTTAAATAAAAAGTTTCACATCAAATGCGCGGGGGTATATCTGATTGCTGTATTAACCCATTAATTATAAGTCGTTTATTAATAGCCGTAATTAATGAATGATTTCGAGACAGAATCACCAAAAAATGTTTTTAAGCCTAGCTGGCAGCTTTAGAAGCACAACAAAATGCTCTATAATTTTCTGCAATTTTAAGCTTGTCTCTGTCTATATTGTTAAATAGAAAAAAAATAATTTAATGAATTATTGGTACTCTTAGTGTCAAAACTCAATTCATAAAACGTTTGCAAATTTACAGGCCCAGTAAAGTATCACTGTCGAAGGATCTCGATCCCTTAATAATACTTAGCGTGGCAAACGCTACAATGAAATTAGTGCATGTGAAGTCCATGTGTCATTTTAGTTTTCGTGTAGGTACATATTTTGTCTGAACCATATGAATTCTGCAAAATAATCCTTATGCTTGCTGAGCCACATTTTAAGACTTTCATCTTTCTCTAGATTGTCTGTTTCCCGTCTAAGTATACCGGGTGTCCTACGTAACGCTTTCGGGCACAACTCAGGTATTTTTGAACGGATTGTTATGAAATTTGAAATGTAGGTATTTTGATAGGTGAGGATTAATATGAACCGGTGAGAATAATCATTATCTTGAAAAAGTAAATTTTCCATGCCTTAATTTAATTTTGAAATAATTAAGTTTAATTAATTTGCATCACTTGATTAAACATGAAAAATAAATACTGTATGCAAAAATTCATGTCCGAAATACGTCTGGTTAGCCAAACCGATAAATTATTGCGAAAATAATTCCAAAAATTATTAAAGGATAGGTTGCTATGAAACAAAAAACTGCTATCCTCGCATTTTGGACACCCTTGCGGGAATTTGATACCTCTTTGCCAAGCGTTATTTTTCGAATTTTAAGAAAATACTAATTTTCAGTCATTAATTTTTTTGAGACAGCTGTATAACCAAATCTAAAAAATATTAATGCAGTGATAAATCACAAGTATAAAGTCATCATATTTTGCATATTTAAGATAGGATTTATTTAGCAAAATTTTGAGCTGATGTCATCAATTGTTTTTTAGGGTGGATTAGCAAATACATTTTGATCAAAGATTTACCATGTTTATGATAATTCAAAAAATATGAATAAAATGCGGATTTATACCGCAAAATTTTGATGTTTCATAATTTTGCTTTTTTCCAAAAATCTGCACTTTTTGGGTAAAACTCAATACGGAGTCATAAACTACATATGTAGGACTATGTTTTTTCATACAATTTAAAACCCATTTACTATGTGCAATTTTAAAGTGACGTCATCACATTATTGGTGAGGACGATTAGACAAATTTTGGTTAGCGTTTTACCATCTACAT